ATGTAATTCCAGTGCTTTTGGAATAGCACACAATGTGCCAATTACCACTGGAATTACAACTGCTGGTTTGTGCCATAGTCTATTATTATTATTATTATTATTATTATTATTATTATTATTATTATTATTATTATTATTATTATTATTATTATTATGTTTCTGAGAGATCAGCTTTTTCTTGGCTGGAACAATGTTGACCTTCTTGAAGAATCCATTTTTTAAAAAAAAATGCAGATTCTATCCTACCTATAAATCATCCAGTTGTACTCAATCAGTTTTATTTTTGCAGCTAATGTCCATTGTAATGTTAACAAAGCAGTACAATACAAACCACAATGGAAACCACAAAGACAAGTGCTACTCACAAAACAATATGTAAGTTATATCAAAAGCAGGACCTATTAGTCTGTACAAATTTCCCCCCCTTTCAGTTTACATCATCTCAAATGCAAGAAACTAAAAGCAGAAATGAAAACCATCTTAGTGACACAAATATGTTAACCTGATGTTCACATGCTACTCAAAAGAATCTGGATAAGCCATTATCACTTATGGCCAATATTATTGTTTGGATTAGTTACTTTAGTCTCAGGTTTTAAGACACTGAAATGTTAATTGAGTTTTGAACTATGCCTAGAGATGAACCCTTTATTTCTAGGTCTAGAGATGGCTTGGGTCCATAGGCCTCCAGAAAAGATAATAAGTGGAGAATCCTTTGATGTCATCTACTCTGTCTTTGCTTCTGATTACTTCTACCATTATGCTGTGGAAAACGGGATCTTCTCCCACAGGTTAGCATTTATAGATAAAGTTGAAGTCATTTATGCTTCTGCTTCAGGAAATATATACGGTAGTGGAAGATGTATATGTTACTGTTTTAATGAATAGTTGAGGCAATAGAATAATGATGTGTGTTCATTAGACACCATTTTCCAAATATTTGTTTAGAATTGAAACAATCCTCATTTTTACAAACAAACAATACCAATTATTTTCTCAATGATGGACAGATTTCCTCCAAACCACTGTAAATGTAGTCTTCTGACATATAAACCTCTCTTTTCTGACAAAAAGGAGTAATGTTTGGCTTTCATCAGCATTTGTCTCTATGTTAGGGCTCTACATATTTTGAAAATTATTTAGAAATACTTCAGAGCTCCTGTAAGTAAAAACGGCATCTACTATTCCTTAAAGTACCCTGATTTTTTTTATACTACACAGATAGTGTCATGTTTTTTTTTATCCTCATAAAAAAGCCATAATAAAATTGGATTGTATTAATGAATAGCGAGCAGACATTGTGTTGCATGTGATATAAAGGATTTTTTAAAATACAGGATTATGTTTGAATGCTCGTGGTTTTTTTAAAAATAGCAGAATTTTGCATATATGTATATAAAATTTCTTATTTATCAAGGGCCCTTTTTTACATTTCTTGCAATACTGATGGTAGAATGCATAATGATGCAGTTCTCATTGGCTCCACTTTGTTTGCAGTTGCCATATAGTGCCTTTTCATTCATTTAACCTTTCCGTCCCCTCCCTTTCCTTCCCCTTTCCCCATCTGAACAGAATAAACGGGATGTTCAGCTGGTGTTTTTTACTGTAACAACAAGAAGACATTGCTCTTCACTTGAAACCAAAATCATATTTCATATTTTATGCTCCAGGATTTTTTACCAGTTCCTTTTTACACTCTTGAAATGGTTTTTAAGCCGTTTGAGACGAGATTTTTTTCTTTCCTGGCAGCTTTTAACATCCTTGCAACTTATTTCTGGCACACAAATGTTTTCAAAGAATTTGTTTCTATATTCATCCTTTCTTGTACTAATACGAAGTTGTGTGTGTGCTGCTTAAAACAAGTTAATGGAATGGCATGATAAATTTCAATGAAATCTTTGCCCATGTAATAATGTTATTTTTGAAGTGATGCAAAGGATGCTAAGAAGTTTTGTGAGGAACAGGAATGTCCTCCCAACTGGAAAGAAGCTAATGGAGAAAACTGTTGTGTTCATCATGCGAACATTCATTCCTGTCCATTGGCTTTCATGGTTAGTATTTCATGACAATTTTATTTAATATGTTTGTGTTGTATTGTTGGATAAACTCCCCCACCCCCCATCTCAAATGCAATAGCCATTTGGAGAAGGATAATAAAAGCAAGAAACAGTACTGAACCAAAACGATATTTTCCATCTGAGGTGTAAAACAATATGGTCCTTCCTCATTCCACATTCATTGAGCCTATTAACACTGCCAACTGAATTTTAAACAACACTGTTGAACAAGAGAGGATTACCCTTTGTGTAGGTGAACCCACAACTTTAACATCTGCAGAGCAAGCTATGTAGCCCTCAGTGCCTGCCATGTGAGAGAATCATCTCACTATATCTAATAGTAGGCCCTGGTAAAATGTGATGGGCAAATGTTATCATTCTTTGCAGGCCTCCCTTTTGCTTATTGAGCCATCTTCCTGTTCATTAAATGTGTCAAAAATAAAAGAAGAATACTGCTGGAAAGTGTTAAATTAAATTAAACACAAATAAATAAGAAGATACTATAGAAGTGCCATTGTTAATAGTCACAGTCAAGGGGGGGGGGGGACATCAATTCTTGAATTTAGAATTTTGATTTAGATTGTGAGAATAATAAAATTGTTAAAATATAGTTAGGAAGGGGAAATCAATTATATTATGTGTATGGTAGAAAGTATATTGCCCTGATGACACAGTTGTTAGAGTGCAGTATTGTAAGCAAACTCTGTCCATTGCCAGGAGTTTGATCCTGACCAACTCAAGATTGACTCAGTCTTCCATCCTTCTGAGCTCAGTAAAACGAGGACCCAGATTTTGGGGGGCAATATGTTGACTCTGTAAACCATTCAGAGAATGCTGTAAAGCACTATGGAGCAAAATATGTCTAAGTGCTATTCCTACATTAACCTAGAAGCTCAAATTAGATTATATTGTATCTTAAAGGAATTTCCTCTGAAAAGACAGATTCCAAAAGCATTTCGCTAGAGTTAAGGGAAAACAAGTGACATTGTGAGTTGTCTATGCTTGCATAGATATATAACAAGCACAAAAGGGCAAAGCTTCTGTTGTGATGTCACATTTTTAAAAAATTTGGGCATGATTGTGGCTAGATATTGATGCATGCAGTAGGTTCCCAGGGACAGTAGTGGAATAAAAGGCTTTCAGTATTCATCAGAGTCAATGGCAACCATATATTTTTATTTCAGAAAGCACTATCCAGTTGAACCAGATTTTACTTCTTGCTATGGTGACCAGTTTGTGGCTGAATTCACTGTTATATTGAAATGTAAGCCATGATTTAAACCCAACTGACTTTGTTTACACATAACACTGAGTCAAAACCGGTAGGAAAAAGCTCATGTTATGACTTACTATAAAATTTTAACTCAATCACTGAGATTTAGGTCTTTCCCTATCCTTTCAATTATACCACTATTGGCTCACTTTTACATTCCTGGGACTAACAACATACACTATATAAGTTGTCACTTCTATTTACACCTATGTGGAATCTTACTTTGATTTCAGATTCTAGCTTTCCTTTGCATATTGTTTCTTTTTGTCAGTTGTTCCCTCTAGTTGCACTGTTATTACTTCCATGTTTTCTGCATTAAATGGTCTGTATATATTTATGGATGCTTTTGCCTTTCTGTTTGTTAAAGGTATTATTATTATACAATTGTATCACAGCGGCCAGTTGTTTCGCCAGATTTGGCATTGGTTACTAGTCGGGCCCCACCCAGGAGCCTAGGACGTCGTAACGTATTTTCGTAATATGCGTGCAGATCCTAGCAGTGCGGCTTTTTTGCATTTGACTGATGGTGATTTTGTCAATTTTTAACTGTTTTAAATGTAATTCCAGTGCTTTTGGAATAGCAAATAGTAAGAAGGTTGCAAACGGCGATCACATGATTCTGGGACATGGCAATCATCATAAATATGAACCAGTTGCCAAGCATCCAAATTCTGATTACGTGACCTTGGGAATGCAGTCGTAAGTGTAAAAAACAGTCATAAGTCATTTCAGCCCTGCTGAAGCCTGCAGAATGCTTCTGGGGGCAGGAGAAGACAAAAACCTTTTTTTTTCCTTACTTACCTCTTCGAAATCTTGGTGCGTCTTATACACCGGTGCATATTTATAGTCCGAAAAATATGGTAGTTTTGCCCAAAATTAGGAATCTGCCCCAAACCCTATGACTATCAAGATTTTACAAAAGCAGAATTCTCAGCAATATGCAATATCAGCCACGATTGCAAA